TGATTCAGTGACTGGGATAATCGGGATGGGAGTGTCAGAGACAGTGCGATTGGCACAGGACAGAGTGGAGTTTAGGGCTGTTGTACATAGGGTCTCTATGAGTCACAAGCGACTCGATGGCACATAACAACAACAACATTCTTTTTCTCATCACAAAATTTTATTGTTTGCTTCTTTAATATATACTAGTACTGTATTATTTGCTTTCTTCATTTAGAAGTAATTTCTAAATCATTCCTTTGTGAATTTAAGGTGGAATTTCAGTGTTGGCCACTTTGAACTGCGGTACATTCCAGATATGGAAACTAGAGCTGGGTTTATTGAAAGCACCTTTAAACCCAGTGAGAACAAAGAAGAAGCTAAAATAATTTCAGATGTGGAAGAAGAGGAAGCGGCCATAATTGACACAGTGATTAAAGTCTCTGTTGCTGACTGGAAGGTTATGGCGTTTAGTAAGAATGATGGAAACCTGGAATGGGAATATCAGGTACTCGAAACGGTAGAATTTTTCCTCTCCCAGTTGCCACCAAATGCATTGGGTACAGAGAAATGACTGCCACTTCTAAATTCTGATTTAATTTTTATGATTTAAGAAATTTGTGATTTTAAATTATAGTTTACAAATACAAATTGTATAAAACTGAAACCCATTTGCTATGGACGCAGTTCTGACTCATGCACTCTAGGTTTTCCGTAACTCTGGTCTTTTCAAAAATGCCTCCATGTGGTCTCGAACCACCAACTTTGTAGTTAGCAGCTGAGCACTTCACTGTTTATGTTTTCCAGGGACTCTTTAAAGTCTCTTTTCCCAAACAACAGATGCTGGTGAAGTTGGGAGAAACTGGAACCCTTATTCACTGTTGGTGGGAGTATAAAACAGTGCAACCACTATGGAAGGCAGTAAGGTGTTTTCTCAAAAAGTTGGAAATAGAAATACCATTTGAACTAACAATTCCACTAGTGGGAGTATACCCTAAAGAAACCAGAACTGCCACCCAGGCAGATATATGCACACCCATGTTT